GGGCTGTGTATGGCTATGTAGGGCTATGTTTATTTATTTATTTATTATTTCCACAATAAAGATTACACAAGCATTACATTATACAAAGATGTGGCGAGGGGACCCCAGAAAACCACAAGGCTTGTACGAGGAGGCCCCCTCGTTACAATAATATTAAGCAATAGAACTATAACAACACACAACAACGGACAGTACAAGACGCATTATCGATATAGTAGAAAATCAAAAACTTTCGTTTTAAACGATTGCAATGTAAAAATCGAAGTGACTGAGTTTGGTAAAGAATTCCAAATTTTAGGGCCTTGGAACAAAATAGAAAATTGTTTGGTGTTAGTTCGGCAGGCATGAGAACGGAAATGCGAGGAACTTCTAGTATTATAATTATGAATATTGCTACTAGTAACAAAAAGGTTCGAAAAAAGCGGTGGCAGTAATTGATGATAATATGAAAACATAAATTGTGCAGTATAGAATGAATTAATGTTGTATATGTCCAAAATCTTTAAACGGAAAAAATAATGGTTCAGAGTGCGCGCGAAAATCTGCATTTGTAATAATTCGTACTGCTCGCTTTTGTAGAAGAAAAATTCTATTAAGGTTTGTTACATAAGTGGAGGACCAAACTGTGGTACAATATGTTAAATAAGGATAAATTAAGGTATAATAAAGAGACTTTTTGTTGTTTCAGAAAGAAAGAAACGAGACCTAAACATGACGCCAATAGATTTTGAAATTTTCTTACATATATAAGTAATATGCGGCTTCCACGTTAGATGCTCGTCGATAAAAACCCCTAAAAATTTAACTACCTTTACTTGTTTTAATAAAACCTCATCATACAAGACAGGATTTATTGGGAAGCCGACTGGTTTTTTTGCCTTGCTGCAAAAATGATATAATTAGTTTTCGTTATGTTAACAGAGAGCTTATTTGCTTTCATAAAAAGATCAATTTGAGATAAATCATTATTTACGGCAGAAATAGCACAATTTAAATCGGGATTAGAATAAAACACACTAGTATCATCTGCAAAAGCATAGTTTCAGCAAGACGAGTAGCACAAGGGAGGTCATTGATATACAAAACAAACAATAATGGTCCTAATATAGAACCTTGAGGGACTCCACAGCTCAGAGTCAGCCTAATAGAACAAGTCTCTTTGTACTGGACGAACTGCACGCGATTTGACAAATAGCTTTTCAACCAGCTAAGTGCTAGCCCATGAATCCCATAATGCTCAAGCTTAGACAAGAGTATTTGATGGTCTAAAGTATCAAATGCTTTTGATAAGTCTAAGAATATGCCAACTGTATATTCGCTTCTGTCAATAGCAGTTGCAATTTTATTAATAAGATGAATTAAAGACAGCGCTGTAGAATATTTTTACGAAATCCAAATTGGCAACAATATAAGATATCTAAACGATCTAAAAAATTTGTAATACGATTGTGCATAACTCTTTCAAAGAATTTAGAAAAATTAGAAAGAAGCGAAATTGGACGGTAGTTAGTGAAATACTAGGAATCACCAGCTTTAAATACCGGAATCAGTTTAGCAATTTTCAGTTCATCAGGAAATACTCCTTTAATAAGAGACAAATTGATTACATTGGCCAAAGGCTGAGAAATGAGATCAAAGGTGCTTTTATTATATCCATTGAAACGTTATCATATCCAGGCGACTTTCCAGATTTAAAAGAGTTGCATATTTGATTTAGTTCCGAAATATTAGTTGGATTTAAGATAAGCGACTCATTAACGGAAACGCCAAGAAAACTACGAAAAGATACTTGTGTGTCTGGAATTTTCCTTGCTAAATTCGGACCTATGTTGGTGAAGAACTTACAAAAAGCAGTTAGCTATTTCTTGTGGATCATTTAACAGTTTTCCATCAGAGAAAAAGGAATTTGGCAGAGCTGCTTTTCTGCTCGGTTTGTTGATTACATCATTGATTAGTTTCCAAGTTTCTTTCAGGTTATTTTTAGCCTTCTCAAATTTTGTATCATAGTACTTTCGTTTAGCAATTTTTATAAGATGATTCAGTTTGTTCCGATAGCGTTTGTATTTTAACTCAGTAGTTGAGTCCCTAGAATTAATGAACTGCTTATAGAGTTTATCTTTTTTCCTGATAGAAACAAGCAGAGATTGCGTTATCCAAGGGGAGCGCATTACTTTCTTTGTTTTAAGTTTTATCGTTTTTAATGGAAAGCTTTCATTGTATAATCGAACATACTCACTCACAAAACTATTATAACATTCATTAGTATCGCTATGTATGGCTATGTAGGGCTATGTATGGTTATGTAGGGCTATGTAGGGCTTTGTAGGGCTCTGTATGGCTATGTAGGGCTATGTATGGCTATGTAGGGCTATGTAAAGCTATTGAGAGAAATGTATTCCATATATTAGCTAACGGGGAACCACTATATGATGCTTACACCACGTACCTACCATCGAGGTGGTGTATTTTTTGAAGTTATCCGCTGACAAATACACCAGTTTCAAATGATCGCAGGCTCAAGTTTATTTTTTCCAAGGATTCATATCAAATATGTTGTGTTTATGTCACTATCGCCACGCACTATTAGGATTTTGGTTTCAAACTGACCTCGGAAGCCAGTTTAAAAGTACAGACGGGGAAGACCTTATCTTACCATGGTCACGCGTTGGTCACGCTCTATGTCCAAGTTTTATACTCTGATTGGTCAAAATTTGACAGGTGAGTTCATGCGGAAAAATTATGCAGTATCGTGAAAGTTGTTTACTTTGACAGCTGAAGCTGACAGAGTTTTGTGTCAAGTTGTGATGTTTTTAACTGTCTTTTTCCTCTGGATGTCCAAAATGAAATACAGCTGCTATCAAGAGTCTACGGTTATTCATGGCTGGTTTGTTTACTGGGTTTTTGGTTGAGAAATGCGTCGCTTGTCAAAATTCGGTAATTCGATTTCGGATGGCATCGTTTTCGTTTTTCTCCTTGCTTAATGCGTAAGAGGGTTTAAAAGTCTCAAGCAACTGAGGCCTTCCTTGATAGCTTTCAGGAACTGAATCTCGAATGGTAAGCCTGAGTAATTATTGTATTTGATGTTTGTTTTTGTTATATCTAATTTCATGAAGTCTTGCACCCCAGTTCACGCTGACAGTTTATGCGGCAAGTTTATGCACGTTTGTAGGATTTGAGTCAATGATCTGACCTAGTATCAGGTTTGATATAAGCTTACAGAACTTTAAAAAGCCTTCAGATATATTTGCTCACCACAAATAGAGAGAAAACGTTCCGAAGAATATTTAGTTATAAATTTGGCTGTAGAAAGAAAACTTTAAGCAATTTTCTTGCTTCGAGGAGTTCACCTTCGAAAACAGTAAACACCGCGCCGGGAAGCCGGCTTAAGCTTTACGCTTAAAGACTCAGGATTTTTAGAGACACTTTAATACTTGTCTTCGTGAATGAAAATTGTTGTCTCTGTAAATGTTTCACCGAATTATATTTCTTTTTTTGATCGTTAGTAGTCTCTCTTGCAATTTTAATCGCTTGTCCGTGCCGTTTGTTTTCATCGTTCATGAACATCGCTTGCAGGAGTACTCAAAAATGTCGCGCGTATCAAACGCTTTATAAGATTACACATCGTTATAACTGAAACCATTAAATAACAAAAAATAAATTAATAAATTCGCTATTGTGCTCAAGCGTAACTCTATTAAAGTTCATTCAAACACTCGACCATACTGACAGCTCGCACTATAGAAACGAGAACCAGCTGGCCGTATGGGTGATTTTGGAAATTTTTGAACGGTTTCGCTTAAAGCCCACGATTGATCGTCCTGAATATTGACTGAGTGCAATTTGTCTTGAAAAGTTGTGAAATACCGCATTCTGTCCTAGGTCTGTATGATAAATAGTACTTTTCACCTCAAGATTTGTAAAGTAAACCTGTCGAACGCAAAAAAATTCGGCGTGATTTGCTTTCCAAGAATTTGTTTTCGAAGCCCAATCTACTGTGATCTTGAATGTGATCGAAGATGTTTGTTATTTTTTGGGTGTACATATAGGGTTATCAATTCGATGTAAAATGATTCACTCTAAAATAACTTAGCCTTTCCCTCAAAAGTCACATGAATGTGCCCTTAAGTTAACTGATTTGTGGATTAAAAGTTTATTGTTTGATTTAAATTATAAATTTATTAATTGGAGCTTCGCTTTTAGCCCTGGCTAAATCTATATATTTGTTAGTTTGTTTTGAAACAAAACAAGCCAATTCTGTTCGTTGATATTTTCGATACAAAAGAAGGCTTTCAAGACCATACAAAATGTATCTTTTTACATAGTTGAAAGGATTCGAAGTGTTTTAAATGGGGTTATATAATTAGTTTATGGTTTTGGTCAAAAGTGGGAAATTTATTGGTAGTTCCTTTTAAGCAAAATGTGCCCATAAAGAGTCTTCCTTGATAGTAAAGTGGTGAAAAGGAAAGAAATCATTATACACTGAGACAAAAGTTCAGACAAATGAGCTATAGAAATGCGCCCTGGAAAAGATAGGTCATGGCTTTTATTTTACATTTATCTAAAGAATTCGTGTTTCTAATACTTTCTGGCAGGCTTTTCCATAATTTCTGTGCAGCTACTGAAAATGCTTGGTGACAATAGGTAGATTCTGCCTATTGTCACTATTGTCAACTTCCTAAGTGCTGTCCTCTAATGTTTGGCGTAGATAAAAATAACGGAAGAAAATTTGCCGACATGTTTCTTTGTTCAGGTAAGACCGAACTTTGTAAAACACACCTTTAATACCAAAGAGAAGTTGGTTCACGAAATATATTTCAAAATAAACAGACAAACAAACAAACAAATAAAGTTTTTCCCGTTGCTTTGGTCACTTTATTGATCGATAGATAAATAAATTTAACTTTTTTTTTAATCTAACCGCAGACTTTTCAATCATTCCAGAGATAACTTTGCTCTTAAAGAGTGCCGTTATTATGCAAAGGCTGAAGGAAATCAGGAAGAGTAACGTGTTTTCGTTTGTCACGCGGACTCCTGCAAATAGGATCCTTTGGTCCTGTTGGGTAATTGTCTGACCAGTAAATATAGTACATCCACACATTCATCTTGGTAAACTTGGTAAGCTAAAATAGTCCGTAAGAAAAACACAAAAGAAAACAAGAGAAAATTTATAAAAAGGTCCATATTTAAATCATTGTCCCTTTCAGGCCAGTGGCAAGAACAAACACTATAGGATTCAATTAAAAAGCGTCCGATCATAACTCATGTTACTTACATCCAAGTCTTTGCAGTTCTTGTCCGTTATACCAGTATTGTCACAAGCCAGACTTTTATCCACAGGGATCTTCAATTCGTATGTACCAAAAGGACTCTTGCACTCTTCTTGCCCCAAAAGACTGTCCCGACACGTGCTTTTACTCAGTGGGTGGCTGCACATAGGTTCCCAGCGGCTGTCGACTTTGGTCAGGCAGAAAGTGCTTGCTGTTCAGAAAACAGAACAAAACAAAAACAGTATCGCAATGTTTATTCTAACAGAGTGCTTTCCAACCCTGAAATATCTCTCTATCTATATGCCGACGCTCGTATGAAAGACGCTACTCCTAGCTGTAGTTGAGGCACTCTTTCACCAAAGTCATGTAAAACCAAAAGCTGCAAGCTCAGTCCAAGCCTAGCCCTCTACCTTCCCCCATGCAATACTCATGCATAATTTGTTAGGTGGCTTTTGGCAGAGATTGGGGTGTAGGGAAGGAGTCCTTTTTGCTAAAAACCAAAAATACACTCAGGTTCGCCAATTCTTGGGAAGGCAACAGCGCGTGGCGCCAATTACCGCGGACCCGTAACAGTCCCTCCCCTTATAAGAGGCCACCACATCGGAGATTACGTCCCCTACCCTTTACGAACAGTGCGTGCCTCATATCTCACGGTTTATATACGTGCAAGGGTTGTGAGACGGGGCCTATGGTTCGTCATCATTATCAGAGAGAACTGTAAAGTCTTGGCTATCCTTTTGCAGATGTTTTTGCAAAGGCAGCACTTTCTCCTCAGTTATTTATCGGCCGGGGTTTGAACCAGCGGTCTCTCGCTCGGCAGACCGGCCTTTTACCCAATTCAGCTTATAACTGGGCGGCGGTACATGTTGGATGGCAAAGTCTTATCAATTTTGTAACCGATTCAGGTGAAAAATGACTAAACATTCAGTAATCTGCAAATTGAATAATAATAATAATAATATACCAATTTATATAGCGCGTATTTACATACTCTGATCAATAACGCTTTACAATCATATATTTAAGAGAAAACGAAAATACATTACCGTGAGAATAAAATAAACTAAGTTACAAACTATAAAAATACTTCTTAAAAAGATACGTTTTAAGTCGAGATTTAAAACTGTTAAGTGATGTTGCTTGACGAAGCTCCACAGGTAGGCCATTCCAGAGTTTCAGAGCTGCTGGTAAAAATGATCTGAATACGACCTTCAAACCCAGAATACTACGGTGGCCCATTAGGGACATGGAAAGTTACTCTTTTTACTAGCAATCGACACTTAGTAACTGTCGATCGACACTTAGTAACTGTCGATCGACACTTACGTAACTGTCGATCGACCATTAGTAACTGTCGATCGACACTTAATAACTGTCGATCGACGCTTAGTAACTGTCGATCGACACTTACTAACCGTCGATAGACACTAAGTGTCGATCGACAGTTATTAAGTGTCGATCGACAGTTACTAAGTGTCGATCGACAGTTATTAAGTGTCGATCGACAGTTACGTAAGTGTCGATCGACAGTTACTAAGTGTCGATCGACAGTTACTAAGTGTCGATTGCTAGTAAAAAGAGTAACTTTCCATGTCCCTAATGGGCCACCGTAGAATACTCACGTGCTGTACTTTCTTCACATTTTTTTTGGTCAGTGGTAGCAAAGCGGTTAAACTCGATTTTCCTGTATGATCCCAGAGGCTGGCGGTAGTCTTTAATAGAGTTGTCTCCTGCTCGGAAGTAAGATGCACTCAGATGGCGAATTTGCAGGTGAACATCTTTGGGAATATTTTTCTCTTGTTTCTCATCGCCAGTTAACTCAACATAGAGCTACATGAAAAAAAATGCAGCTTTTTAGCCAAATAAAGGGGAACATCTTTATTTCTCCCACGCGAAAAAAAGGAGAATGGGTACAAAATCTCCGTGCAAAAATTTCTAGGATCGTGTGGGTGGCCTTATAGTTGACTTTCGTTCGACGTATCATAACTGACGATTGCCTCCTCAAATAATCCTAGAAATCGTTGCGCCGAACGCCTAAACCTATTACACCAGCCAATGAAATTTCTGATTAAGGTCAAGTTTTCAATGACTTTCTTCTTTCAAATATCGGGCGTTTCTTGGTGTTTCGGATACCATTGTTGGTTAGCTCTTGTGTTGTTGTATGGGTAGTGTTCAGTGACTCTTTATAAATCTTTGAATCACGTCATTTGATGATCACACCCGCCCGCAACACCAAGAAACTACCAAATATCAATTGCTACCGTTGCTAAGAAATGTAGTGTCAATGTCTCAAAATGTGTTAGCTCTGTGGCTTATTCCCATTCATCTCAAGATTAGTTCTTACTGTCATAAATATGATCAGTTATTTTTGCTCCCAAATGCCATGCTTTATCTAGTACTGTAGAGACACATTTATCTCAAAATCATGTCTCTGAAACCTAAGATTTTTTAGGGGTTAAGGGTCAGTTAAATTCAAATATTTCCCTTGAAAAATTAACAGGAAGTTCTCTTGTCTTCAGATCAAGCTGGCTAGAAATCTTTACCTTTAATAATCGAATGTTGTAGCATGTGGTACAGCTCTTATCAATGTTGATGCTAAATCTCGTATAACCTTTTGCTATGCCTTTGAATATCTGCATACAAAAAGAAAAACGTCAAACTTTCAAAAATGTGTTACATTTTAATTAGTCTGTAAACTAAGTTTACAGACTAAGCTGTCTTTTGTATTATTTTTAGATCCAGAATCAAGAAAATAATAGTGCTCTTTAATTAATTAGCACGGAGCTGAAAAAAATTCAACGGGTATTAACAATTTAATTTTCTTATCTTCTGAAGAAAACGGTTCTACTTCAAGTGGCAAGACTGTAAAAGACCACAACGGCCAAATCACAGTTCTACGTTCGTCGTAGCTGCGTAAACCTATTTGTGGAAAAACTCCTGCATTGTCGACGATACAATAATGTGTACACTGAAAATTAAAAAGACCTGTTTCAGCCCCAAAGGGTCAATTCAGCCCTTCCTGGGGCCATTTGAACACAATTTAGGCCAAAAAAGCTCAATCAAGAGGTTATTCCAGCCCACGGTAGGGCCCATTTCAGCCCTCGGACCAAATCAGCCCTAGCTAATTGGACTGTATTGGCCCTGATTTAAGGGAGCCAAATTAGACTCAAAAATAGGACTGTAGTTTACTCACCGAAGCGGCCCTATTTTTAGGGCTAAAACAGATCTTTCTGTTTTAGAGTGTACAAGCTGGAATCGTCTTAAAAGATAAAGCATCATTAGTCTGAAATGTCACTTATGTGTTTGCCCCACCCCCAAACGGGCGGTAAGGTCGCGTCCCAGTTTGGGAGGGTGGGGCGAAGAGACGGATGACATTTCAGACTAAAGCATCATCTATCGAGTCATTTCTCGGAGAATATATGTAATTGTGTTGCGCCGGTTCGTGCTAATCTGTATCTGTACTTTATTCACTCGAACAAGCACAGCGGCACTTTAATTTTTAAAATTATCTCGTCTGGCTCAAATGACCTTTTCTTTCCTAAATGCGGCTCTTACTTTGTGGCGGCGCTTTATCGGGGGTGGTGCTAATCAGAGTAAGTACGGTAATTATTCTTACCTCCTGGTGCTTGTCCTTATCAAAACTCCATTTCTTTACGTCGTCCGCGTAAATGTTGTCTGTAAAACATTTTACTGCCGTTATTTCAAGTTTTTTCATATTTTGAAGTACTTCTGTAAGTTGAATCATCCCACTGAGACGTCCAGTGCCATGCGCACTCTCACTGGCCACTCTTTGGAATTCGGCGAGAGGATTTTCTGCTTCCCACAAGGTTCGAAACTTAAATGCCTTATAAAGCTCATAAACGCTTTCCATAAATGTCCGTTCCATTTCCCGATATGTACTCAACAGGTTTTCCATGAATCTCAGTTGAAGGTCTTTAGTTATAGGAGTACCTAAAAGGGTTCAAGGCAATCAAGAAATATTAAGCAAACGTGTAAAATGTTTTGGCAGTGTCAAGGTAACCCAAGAATAGTAAGCACCTCACGAAATCAGTAAATTGCCACATAAAGGAAGTCAACGATTTAAGAACTGACGAATACCTCAGGGAGTAGATTGCTACACGGGCCAAATCATCTGGTTTGAAACCTGAGACTGGTAGTCTTTTTGCATTGAGTTATTCATAACTATGTTTGAACTTCCCTCGTACTGGCACTAGAGAGACAGACCTGACTGTCCATATTACAGAAGTGTTCGTATTATAGAGTTAGGGAATATATGAACTTTGGTGTTGTTGGGACCAGGAAGAGAAGTGTTTCTAATGGAGAGGTGTCCGTAGCACAAAGTGAGGTAATGTATGAAGTATGATATCTATGGGACCAAAAGTGGTGCTGTATTTCAGAGGGAGGTATGGTATGAAGTTTTGTAGAGAGAGACCTTTCCGTAATAGAGAGGTGTCTGTATCTGAGAGGTAGGAAATGAATGAAGTTTGGCAGCAAGTGAAATGTACTTTAAAAGAGAGGTGTCCTTTGACATAGAGGGAAGGATCGTATGAAGCTTATTAGAATAGGCTTGACTGTATCAGTTTTTTTTTCTCTTGTGATGAGATGGCAGTCTTCCTAATGCGATACAGTGTTCCGTTTTAAGACCTGAGAGGTATAAATATTCTCTTTATGCTTAATCAAACAAAACTTTTCGTGAGAAAAAAAGGAAATGATCAACTAGAGTAAAAGGTCTTGTTTTCCTCATCAGTACCATCGGAAATTTGTGTGCCGTGTCATGAGTGGGGATGTTGATATTCTTAAACAAATATTGAATAAGGCTGAATATGATATGAAGGATTATACTGATTGAGGAGGGTGTTATCCATTAAGGCCAAAGGCGGGATCAATAACATGCTCCGAGATCTGGATAATTGTTACGCCTACGTACCGCTCGGGTTGCCTAAATCCTTTATCGTCGTTGCTGTTTCCTCTAGGAGAGGTATATCAAAGTTATAACCCCCAATTTCATTATCAAGATCAGTTATCTTTCCTATCAAGTCAATACGAGCAGCTCCCGCAATGAAGTATGACTCCAGTTGCTGTTTGAGCGGTGCTACGTCTGATTCGCGGGAGGCAACATCCAATAGACACACCAGCTCACTTGCTAAAGATTCCTTCTGCATCTCGAGGTTGGCCTATTAGACAACAAAATATCAGACAGAGTTGAATAAAACTATGAGGGGAGATTACGAATATGCGACAAATCATTTAAATAGGACGGTGGCTGACAATTAGCCTAATCGATAGAGTGCTGGTTAACAGAACGGGATGTTTTGGGTTCAATTCCGGGGCGGAACTGGACCAATACTCAACATCTAAACACAGCTGAGAAAGAAGGTACTTAACTTTGCCCTGCTGCAAACGGTCAAACGTTCGCGTGGCTGTGATGACCACGTAATTAATAACGTTCCTATCTTCAGCAGTATAAACAGTATCATCAATATTAATTTCTTATTGTTTTAAACATACCTTGACATTTAAATAGACCTGTTTTTTTTAGCAAATCAACTGTTGTCCTTCCATGATTTATTTGTTTAATGGTGGAAAGAAAGGTAAAATATTTCAAGTTTATCTTTTAAACCTTCTTTGCACACCCTAACTAAACCAGAGGGAAGATAATAGGCCACTTCCGAGTTCCAAAAACCCTCACTTTGAAAATGAGGCTAGGTGCACAACCTCTCTTGTGAAAATCAGTTTTATTTGCATGAGAATGAAAAATGATTTCCATATCAAAGGCTGAGCACCTACCCTCGTTTTGAACTAGAGGCCCTCGCGCGGGAACTCGGAAATGGCCCATTCATGCCCGAGTTTCCAAGACGATGAGTCTCGGCAAATTCTCAGCCTCCACGTAATTCGACACAAGGATCTTATCGTTATTAAAACTTCGCAGCGAGAATTTGTAAAGAGATTTATTCTGTCACAAATTTGCATTGTCCTTGTTCTGGCTTGTTTGTCTTAACTGTTATTCTCTCTAAGCGTAGAAACGACTACGAGTCTATTGTTGGGCACTAACGCATGATTATATTCGGCCCATTGAAGGTAACTCATATTGCGGAATCATGGGAAATATTTACTTCTGGAATTCGAAATCCTAGGCTTTGGAATCTGCAATTTAGCTCAAGAATCCGAAATCCCACCAACGATTTGAATCCGGAATCCAAGTTCAACTGAAATAGAATCCTGGATCCAGTACCTAGTCGAATCCGTTGTCAACAGCGTGAATCTAGCACCCAAGACTATGTTGGATTACCTTACACGGGACGACACTAAGGACACAGCTTATTTTTGCTAAATGCTTAAGTTAATTGTCTTGGATATGATGATGGAAATACATTTTACAACACGGAATAACGTTTTGCACCTGCATTATTTCCGGAACTGAATTAACGTCGACTTGATCAAAGTCGAGATCGCTCGAATCCTTCAAAGGATTGTAATTCTTTCCAAATGTTAACCACTTTTTGATACTGGCAAGATATCCCTCAAGCGAATTAAGACATTGCTTTCCTAGTTGACTCTCAGCAATTCCAAGTGCCGAATCGATAAATGCAAACGGGTCTTTCGATGCTATGCTGCTGACAAATCCAGTAAGACCCTGCAGAATTGCCAGGAAGTCATTTGCGTTCATCTTTGCTTTTTCATACACCTCCGGGAGCATAGTTTCCACTTGTTTCAAAATGCCATTCATCTGGGCTTCTAACTGTCGAATTGACTACAAGGAGAAAAACAATTCGTACTTAAAATTATAGAATTAGTGAAAACGTAACATAAAACTCAGAAACACTATATTTGTGGGGAGAGATACTTTCACAAAGCTCTTTTTCGCAAAGAATAAGGGTTTTATTGCGCTTTGGTTGGAGGTGAAACTTCCCCCGTCTCACGGTACACCTGTGCTTATACTTCGCAATAGATATAGTAAATAGATACACATTTTTCAGAACCCCCAAGTTTCATAACTGAATTTGTCGCGAAGGAAAAATTGAGCAAGGACAGGAAACGAACATTCCCATGACCACGAGACTTTAAGTCGTTTTGTTCATGACGTTGATTTTATTTACGTTTTGTTGATTTTCACCGATCAATATCCCGGAAGAACATCTGGTAGCTGAGCGACGTTGTCTTCACGATGGATTGACTCAATTTTACCGAGATTTTACTGTGAGATTTGCGACCACAGGAACGGTAGAACCGAACACGAGATGGCCGAACGACTATTAAAATCCTCACGTTCATGGGTCCAGTCCTCGCTCAATATGTCCTTCGCAACAGTAGTTTTATAACTTCAAGCTTTTCACACCATGCTAGGGTCAGTCTACGTGCTGTAGATAAGGAAATAGAAGTCTTAGGATAAGAAGGGTGTGACATACGCCGAGGGACGTATAGATGCCACCCCCAAAACTTTTTTCCAGGACTTTTGTTAAAACGGCCTTAGGCCAAAACGTCCAGTCTTCCTCAGATGATTTAACAAAATTTGGTGACGCGATCGGTTGCTGTTGATACAAGATATGACTTCACAAATGACCATAAGTCAATCCTTTTTTAAGCAACAATGAGTGGTTTTAGTAAAGTCCAAGATACCCGTTATTTTAAATAACGTCATAGGTCGTCAAAGGCGCTGTATCCTAATTAAATTACATCAAGTAGTATCAATTTACCCGTGCGGCTCTACCGCCATTACACCACCGTACTTTTTAGTATGTTTCAGATGTTTTACCTTCACATAAAGTCTCTTTTCGCTCTGGGCAATGTTCTTGGCTTCTACCAATCGCTTCTTCTCCGACTCAATCTGTTTTTCAGCCAGAGAAGACATCTTCTTGGCAAGCTACAAAAACCGTTTTTAAACAGTTATTTTTTACTTGTATTACCAGAAATAAGAAACAGGCCAATAAATACTGGAAATATCTGTGTTTAAATCTGCAAGTTCAAACATTAATCATGTTAGATCGGTAACGGCCACTTCTATTTAGCCTACCGGACATTCCACTTATCTACTCTTGCGTTACAATCTGTACAAAGGCTTTTATTTTCACGACAGAAATGACTACAATACAACAGTTCGTCCAACAGTGCGTCAACTGCTTAATAACACCTCCACTTAGACCGTTAAAAGAGTACTGAGTACAATCTAGTGTACTTTTTGTATCTTATTCGTTTTTTTGTTTTAGCTTTTCATGTTCTGAAAATTTACTTTCGGTTTATATATTGACGGTCTATCGTATTAGTATGCTATAAAAAGCATGTTTGCCTTCCATTTTTTACATTACCCCCAAAACTGGAGTCACATTTCTCTCCTACCTCCCTATACCGACACCTGTCAAAGGCCTCTGTCTGACCCCAGTCCTAGCCTCGTGTTGTGGACTATAAAATGCAATATGTTTTACACAAAATAGTGGTTGAGCACACTGATATACCTCAAGAAATATTTTCTCTAAGATTCGTGAAGTTTGAGGTATGAGTCACCAACCTGTGTTATATCTCCTTTATTTTCTATCGAAGCCTTTATTCCGTTAAATGCGACTTCGTACTCCTTGGCCGAGTTCTTTACATTTTCTGCTATGACCTTCAGAGCTTCCCATTTGATACGTGGGGCAAACAGTTTATTTCTTCCAAAGATATCAAAGTCCTCTTTACCCGCAAAACCATACTTCCTTTTAACCTCTGAAGATGAACGAGATACAGTTGATATAAGAGTTCACTCATAAGCGTATCACCGCTGAATGAGCATACAATCACATCATGTCTGGATGATAGGTGTTTCCTTTTCTATCTTCATATACATCGACGGTGGAGCCATTCTCGTCCCCAGAGTTTCCTAGGGGGCCTGAGCACGAGGACCAGGGCGATCTGGGGACACACGATTTGAAGTCCTAGATTTTAGGACTTCTGGTCATTTCTTATTTTCTACAACGTTTCTAATAGCGTTCACTTGCTGTTGCCGAAGTGTCAATAACTGTAAATTTAGGAGATTCAAAGCCTTTAAAAGACAATCCTCCAAGTTACTTTTGAAACGGAAATGACCGGAAGTCCTAAAATCTAGGACTTCAAATCCTGTGTCCTCAGGGCCTCCTGGTCCTCGTGCTCAGGCCCCCTGAAGGCACTGGCGACGAGAACGCGGTGGGGCAAGGCTTAAGTAAGGCTCAGTCCCCTGCTTTGGGTGTCTCGATACGCTCTCGGTGGGGGGAGTACCGCGGGTGCATTGAGACACGCAAGGCTGGAGACTGAGCCTAGGATACAGTTTGCATGAGATAATTCTCCCAACTAACGATTTGTAATCATTCTCAACTTTGTCTGGAAGCCTTACATTGTACATTCGCATTCGAAAGTTTGTTGTCCATATCTGAGTTTTACAGTAGTACCTGGTAATTAACAATCTTAGGGGAGGGAGGGGGAAGGGGGCAATTGGTCTCAATTTGTTTCTGGCGTTGAAATCTTTGTACCTACCTGACAGGAACCTAAGGTCAAATGTTTGCAAGCAGAAATCACTCGTATGTATAGTCAGAAATACGATGACAATGAAGTATTCTTTTGAGGCAACCTCTGACCGTAGAGTCAGTGGTAGTACGCCTTGCTGTAGTTATCTTGCAGACTCTAATACTTACCTTCGTACTCCCCTGATCCCAATTCCCTGGGTTATATTCCCACTCAGACCCCAGGCGGGATTTGTTTTCTGTTAGTCACCCCGGTAGTGTTGTGCTCAAATCCCCTGGATACTCCCTGGGTTTAACTCCCTATCTGATTGGTGGCTAGAGTTGTTTCTCGGTAGTCCTGTGTTGATACTCCCCAATTTCCTGAGTTTAAATCCATCTCACGGCAATGGCTGGAGCTGTCTCTCCGAAGTCCTGTGTTTAACTCCCCTGGGTACTCCCCTGATCCAAATTCCTAGGGTTTAATCCCACTCAGAACACTTTCGGGAGTTGTTTCTCAGTAGTCCTGTGTTCATATATTCGGCTAAGCTTAAAAATTCGCCAACTTCAGGTCTGCCTCCGGTCAGTTCAGATTATTAACCTTTTCATATTTACTTCTAGTGAAATATTTGGTTTGACCCAGTTCATATCTACTAGCCTTTGTGCTTTAATTATTGGGCATGGTAAATAATCAGATTATAGATAACAATTATATTATTCACCAAAGTGGAGGTGGTTAGTGGTGTCATTTACCGAGCCGCGAAAAGACGATGTAAATATCCAACACTAGCCACCGACAGTGAGGTGAATAATTAGTTTACTATATATTAGTTTACTATAAGACTCAGCTTAATTTGCATTTGTAAACAAAAAACTTCTTCACCGGTTTCATCAATAAATTCAAGTAAAAAAGACAAAGCTTTACCTGTCAAAACTTCCAAACCGAACTTCGTAACCTTCTTCGTGTGTTTCGGTAACAGCTTGCTTGATTATTTGTGAAATTTGTTTGTTTGTTATGGCAGCAAACCGGGAAGCCATTTTGCTAGTAACTTACGAGAGTTTGGCGTCGCTCGCTCGAAGGAAGTGGAGGTGAATCCGTGAATAGCATTGGATATTCACTGATTGAGTAGCCAATCAGAGCGCGTGAAAAACACTATCCACTGTTTAGTATATACTAATTAACAATTATTCCTAGAGTCCGAATGGGCTCTGAGTCAATAGCTCATGAGGCCGAAGACCGAATGGGCTATTGACTCAGAGGCAATGAGGGCGAGAGGAACAATTGTTTTAGTAAAATCCAACTAGTTGTTAAAAAAATTTGAGACAAAACAACTTAAGCTAGCAAAACGGAAATCAGCCGCCATTGTTTTGGTTTTCAAAGCCGGCGCTCTTCTCTACTAGTGGGCTATAACATATAGCCTAGTAATGGCTCAACCAATCAGAACGCAGCATTGATAATAGACAACTAGTTGGATTTTACTGAATTAGTTATACTGAATTGTTATAATTATTGTCGTTATAGTAATAGCACTGCTGCTGCTGCTGTTGATTGATGATGGTGATGATGATAATGATGATGATGATTGTTGTTGTTGTTGTAAGACATCCTGCTTAAAGTTAGGATGTATATACAATATATAATCTCAGTATATAGCTTGAAATGAAACTGAAGTACCTCTCTTGAAGCTCACATCAACATCTGCTTTCTCTTCCACTACACCTATGATAAACTTTAGAGCTTTTTTGCCGGAGCGACTCTTTGGTTCCGCAAGGAGCAAGTCTTCAGCCTTCCTTTTCATAATTTTTAGCAACTCGAGAGGGAACCTCTGCTTACTTTGTTTGTCCAAAGTACTCGACTGTATGTTACTCAAACTTACAGCGCCGTCTTTACCCTTGATATTTGGGGCTAAACAATTAAACATAAAAAGAATGAAAGTAACGTAACGAAGCTCATTTCGAAAACATTTGGAGAGGCCCCGCTGCTGCATGCTCATACATTTAGTGTTAAATTTGGAAAGGCGGAGGGGAATGTCCCAGTTTTAAAGTGACGGGGATGCATTATGCCTCGCTTAGGGATAGAAATTGTAGATTTTTATCGTTCATAGGGGATTCAGGACGGATATTCATTATCTTTACCCATAGACGTTCTGTTTAGAGTTGTGCGTAAAGAAACATCCAGTGTATCTTTATGAAAATAAGAAAACAAGTAGGCAAATCGCCCCATGCAAGGGAAACCGAATTTCGGAATCCGAGAAATTTCGGCTTGTGGAATCTGGAATCCTGACTTTCTGGAATCCGTGATTCAGCTCAAGGACGAGGGAATCCCACTAACGATGCCAATCCAAAATCCAAGTTCCACTGACAAAGAATCTGGAATCCAGTACCTGGAACCCAGAATTCACGTCGTAGAATCCAGAATCCCAGACTTTCGTGGATTCCCTTACATGGGGTGTTACAGACAAACAAAAGTCGTCATACCGAGCTGGAATATTGTCTTCTTTTAGTGATCAGATAAAGCCTGAACCACGCCCACTTTTTTGGGCGGGGGAGGGGGCTAAATTCTTGTCTTCCCACGAGCGTCCCCAGTTAGCTTACCCATCCCCTTCCGCGGGGGAACAGCTGCGAAATTGAGTTGCAGAGACCGCATCTTGTAGCATTAAAACAGATTCTATGGGAAACAGCTGGAAGTGTCTAGATGTCAGTTTGGGTAGACTAGCATTGCATGGATATAACTAAGAGAAAAACCGAAGAAGTTGACATTCTATAACTGCTTCAAATCTTTGCAGGATTATTCTCTGATGTTTAAGGACTTGATGATTTTGACAGAGTTGATACTTAAAGACGACTTAATTGAACGGAAAGAAAAAATATTTGTGAATATAGAGCGTTTTCACATGACGTCACGGCGGCCATATTGGTGTTCCAAAACAATAAAACGGCGGCCATGTGGTGTTCTAAACCAATCCGGTCGGAATTGAACTCTTTTCTCATGTAAACGCGTTCTTTTGTTCCCACAAATTTTAATGGATGCTGGTCACGTCAATGTAAACGCTCTAGACCAGGAATACAGATTATAGAGTTTTTACACTCGTGGCCAGCAGCTACGCAATGTATTGCGACAAAAAAATGCGTTTACATAAGACAATTATCGCCCCTTTTTATTGCATTTGGACAGCAACATGGCGGTTGACGTTATGTGAAAAGGCCCTAGACAAGACAGTGGTAGAAAATAAAGTAAGGTAGAGGGGCTAGCTTACTTCTTCCGGGCGGTCCATTATTGCCACGTGGTCCGTCAGGGGCTTTATGCCCCAGTCCACCATCCCCGCATACCGGAAATTGACGTTTCATCATGAAATACGTCTTACAATGTCTCCCTTTTCCACCCCTACTGCCTTCGCCTCCTGGATAAGATAGAAAGATAGAAAATAAAAAAGCACAATCTTAAAAAGATAGAGTGGAGTTTTCGCGAGGAAAATACAGTCAAACCCCATTAGAAGGGACACTGAACGGAGTGTCCGTAGTAAACGAGTCATGTTATTTAAGTCAAAGCAAGCCTATTATTGTACAGAATACTAAAGAAATAAGACGCTATGGAGCGTACACTTCCCCGTCGTGGTTGTGAAACTGATTAATTGTAAATGCGGAGGAATAGTAAGAACTATGGTAAGAGCAAAGTGTTAATTTGTCAAATTATGGGATTTGTCAGGATATTCTTAAAAGGGTAACATCCAAGAGGCCTACTTGCCAAAATCTAGCATTTCGGGGCAAATTGTCTCTAAGATATTAGCCCAGTTATGCTCTGATGACTCCATACATATCCTTCTAAATTTTACTTGGGTCTAAACGTTTAGACCTAAGTCAAATATGAGGTTACTGGCGGTGAATAACAAGCCTGACAAATTTAAAACAAACAGTGAAAAAAGGACTCTATATTGTTGGTTTTCACATGACGTCACTAAAACTCAAACTACAAAACTATCAATCTTACTGAGATTTTACTTTCATGATGTATTCGAGCAGCTGAAAACTAATTTTCGTACAAATTTTCGCTTCGAAAAGGGTTCTTGGTTTTTTTGATAGAGTACGCTTGAATTTCCAAGCTACTGCGTGACGTGGCATTTACATGACGGCCGAGAGAGCTGTCTTGTAGGTTAAAAGAGTGAAGTATTTCGGGGAATTTTGCTATCTAAACAGTTCAGGTAATTAGAAAAAGTATTACTTTAATGTTTAATGTTTATGAGTTCCTCGAGGAATAAATTCACGCTTTTTTTCCAAAACTCGGTAACAGATGTTTTTGTTAGTTTCCGTCCGCCATGTTGGTGCTCATCCAGGTGGGCACCAACATGGCGTCTCCATACAAATCTCTATAAATTTGGGTAAAACATTTCTTCCGACATCTCGTATACGAAATATTCCTTCTGGCCTGAATCTTGGCGAGGGTCTTTGTATATATATTTACCTCCTTTTATCTCCCAGTTTCCAGACTTTATCTATTGACCGGTTTTGATTTTTATTTTGATCTAGTTTGAATGACGTGACACTGAAAACCAGCAATTTTTCTTACATGAGGCTTCAAAAACAGCATAGCAGTCTCATGTACTGATTAAAGATATGTAAGGGATGGGTAAAGAGTCAATTACGTTGAGCATGGAATTGGCTAAAACGCAATGTTACGAGTTCGAATGTTTTGAGGATAATTATTCACTGGCGATCAGCAAGCAGGGGTGTCGGATTAACACAAAGAAGTTTAACACCAAAGTAACATGGTTTTCACAGAGCTTTAAAATACAGCATCCGCCAACACAAACTTAACTTGACTTCAACTTAAGTAAATCTAAACAGCCTCTGCCAATAATGACAAACTCTCACTTGAACTTCAGATATCTTACGGCTTCCGCCAACTTGTAAACACAGAACTTGAAAATCGACCTTCGTCACACTTGACTAAACACAGCACGCGAGCTCATGGGAAAAAACTTAGTTCGTCAAAAGAACTCGCTTGAAACTTGTATACCGTTTGACATATGGTTCTAGAAAATACTAAACAGGCGAATAGTAGAAGCTTTTCGACATATTCTATGATTTCAGTAACTGATGCAAATCTGCTGACTCATGCTGAAATGTAAACATGCCCTAATTTATTATTAATGAATAATTAAAAAACGTAGAGAACGTTCAGAAAGTCACTCAACGCATGGAAGTAATTTTACTATGTAACACTCAACAAAGACAAAACGTCTTTGTGCAGCATTTTGTAACTTTAAATTCATCATAAAACTGTTCGAAAGGA